GGGTGTCAGTGTGTGCAGTGCTGCAGGGACCACCATGTGCAGTGCTGGGGTTTCAGTGTGTGCAGTGCTGGGGGTGTCACTGTGGGCAGTGCTGCAGGGACCACCATGTGCAATGCTGGGGTGTCAGTGTGTGCAGTGCTGGGGGTCCAGTGTGTGTACCATGGAAAAGCCCACAAGCCAGGGACAGTTTAGTGACAACTTAGCCAATGAAATATGGTTTTCAAAGGCCAATAAACAGCCTAGGATAGTGTAACAAGGCATGGAAACAGTGAGATAGCATGTAAAACAATGTTAACAGTATACAGAAACAGTGTGGTTTTGTGTGGAAATACTGCAACCATGTATGGTAACAATGTAACAGTGTACAAAAGAGGGCAGCTTTTGAACTTCTCCTACATCCTGCCTGTTTCTGTGGTCAGGCTCTGCGGTTATGCTGAAGGAAGATGAAAAACTGAACACATCTGTCCAGAGACTAAAGCCATGGGGCCTTATTTCTTTTCTAAGACAAAGCCAGCATCTTCTAAAAATGAAATTCTTATATGCAGCAAAAGACTTCCCAAAAGGAGTTAAGAGAGAACCTACCAACTGGGAACAGATATTTGGCAGTAACACATTTTACAAAGGCTTCATCTCTAAAAATCTATAGGAAACTGCAAAGTCTCTCAACAAGAAAAAAAAACCCCAAAAAACGAAACAACACCTCAGTTACCAAACTCATTCACTGCTGTCAAGACAGAACTGACTCAGAGCTGAGTCAAACCCACCAGTGAGTTTTCAGACCTATAAACTGCTCGGCAAGAAATTGCCCATCTTTCTTCTTAAGAGCAGCTGATGGATTTGAACTGCCTGCCTTCAGGTTGGTAGCACAATTTCTCTCAGATCATTCAGTTTGCAAACAAACACAGGAAGGAATGCTTGCAATCATCAGCTACTAAACTGGAACTCTAACCCACTGCCATCAGAACTAACTCATCGCTCACCCTCCACCAGGTTTCCAAGGTAACTCACACAGGAAAAGATTGCCCATCTTTCTCCTGCAGTGCCACTGGCAGATCTGAACTGCCAGAGAAGCTTGGCCTTTGGATTCCCAGAAGCAATCAAAGTTCACGAAAACAGAAAACAACAAATGATGGCAAAGGTGTGGAGAGACTAGAACTTTGATACACTGCTGGTGGGAATGTAAAATGGTATAATAGGGAACTCTGGTGGCCTAGTGGATAAGAAGCTGTGCTGCCAACCCAAAGGCATGGAGTTCAAACCTATCAGCTGCTCTGAGGGAGAAAGATGGGCCGTTTCCTCCTGTGCAATTTACAGCTTCTGAAACTCCCTAAAGGGTCCACTGCGAGTTGGCTCCAGTTTGATTGCAGGTAAGAGTTACAACCACAAAAAAGCATTGTGATGCTTCCTTAGAAAGTTAGAAATACCATCTGACCGGCAATTCCACAATTAGATATCTATTTTAAAGAAATAAGAGTGGCAATATGAGCGGCTATATCCATGCTCATGATCGCTGCAACATCATTTACAACTGCAAAGAGATGGAAACAACTCAAGAGACCAATAGCAGCCAAATCTGTAAAGAAACATTTACACGTGGAGTACTATGCAACACTGAAAAACAACCAAGAACTCAATACACACCGCATAATATGGATGCAGCTAGAGGACATTATGCTGAGTGAAAAACGTCAGCTACAAAAGGACAAGTGACGTGCAAGACTATTGTTACAGAAAGCTGCTAAGAAAATGTTTACACAAAGGTAGATACAGTCTTGGACGGTTAGCAGAAGTCAGAAGGGAAGGAGAGAGGAAGGAAAATCAGTAACTGGGCAACAGTCAGGTGGGGGAAGATCGCACAGTGTCACTAAAGGAAGACACAGAGAGGCAGAGAAGGAGTCATTGGTGCAACCACTGTGGAAGGTGGTGTGGCGCTTTCTCAAAAAATTGCAAATAGAGATACCATTTGACCCAGCAATCCCATTACTGGGAATATACCCCAGAGAGACCACATCTGCCATCCAAGCAGATATATGCACACCCATGTTTATCTCAGCTTTGTTTACAATAGCAAAGAGTTGGAAGCAGCCTATGGGCCCATCAACAAACGAATGGATAGAGAAGCTGTGGTATATCCACACAATGGAATACTATGCAGCATTGAAAAACAAGGAACTCATGCAATATTATTCAGAGTGGGAGAAGGAGTCATGGTAACCAGAATTCCAGGGAAGTGGGAAGTGTGATCATGCTGTGGGCACTGGAAGTAATGTCACAGGACACAAGGTATAAGAATAGGTGAAGGAAAATTCCTTTGTAAATTTTCATATAAATCATAATTGGGGGGAAATGATATATACAGACCATGACAGGAAAAAATAGAAAAGTTGCATATATCTAACCATAAAGAAGAATAAATGAAAGCAAGACCGAGTTGGGCCCATGCATCACTGCCCACAAACTCCCTCTGGGTCTGCAGTATAAAGCCGGGGAGGGCCTCCAGCGTCTGTGGTCACCTCCTCTCCTCTCCACTCCACATGTGCCTCCGTGGAGAGGGCAGCAGCCTAGGACGTCTGTGGTTGTTATTAGCTGCTATCCAGCTGCACTTGACTCACAGCAACCAGAGTACAGGGAGTGGACTCTGCCTGCTCCTATGCAGTCCCAGTGCTGCCGTAAAGTGGACGTCTGTGGGCCAGCCCCAGGGGCTGCCATAAAGTGGACGTCTGTGGGCCAGCCCCAGGGGCTGCCGTAAAGTGGACGTCTGTGGGCCAGCCCCAGTGCTGCCGTAAAGTGGACGTCTGTGGGCCAGTTCCAGTGGCTGCCGTAAAGTGGGCCTCTGTGGGTCACAAGGTTTTCACAGGTTGATTCTCAGAAGTCGGTTGCCAGTCCTTGCCTCCTAGTCTATCTTAAGCGGAAACCTACTCAGCATCCCAGCCTCCTGACAGAGGGTGGTCAGAAGGTGCATGTGAGATGCACTTGGTGGGACTTGAACCTTGTTCTCACACCTGGAAGGTGTGCACTCTACCACTGGCCACCACCGTCTCCAGCAGTGGCTCTTATTTTCCAAGTTTTCACTCACAGTCCATTCCCAGGACACCACTCACAGTGGGTTCCCAAAACCTCCACATTTCATTATGTGGCTCCTTTGCTATAAAACCATCATGGCCTCATCATGACCCTGTTCTTGGCTGCCAATCAGAGGCCGGCAGTTTGACACTGACACCGGTGCAACAGCAGAAAGGCCTGGAGACCCTCTCCCATAAGCTCGCAGCCACTGAAGACCCTGTGGTGTCAGTGACACACTAGGGGTCTCTGGGAGTCCAAGCTGACTGTGCTCCCTGGGGAGAAAGGCCACTGGTCCCCAGCCTGTGCAGCCTCTGCCCCCAGCTCGCGTCCCCTGGCCCTCGATGTTGCTTCTCCCCAGGAGGCCCTGCAGCTGTTGGTTCCCCTGCTCAAGGGCCACTTGCCAGCTGCCTGTGTATCAGCTCCCCAGAGCCATGCTCTTGCCCCCATGGCGCCAGGGGGACTGTGCACAGCTCCCACTCCACTGAGTGCCAGGAGGGAGGAAGCAGATGCCACAGCTGTCACCCCCCAGTCCCCATGAGGAGCTAAGGAAATGGCTCGTGTCACACGTCTGAGGTAACTCCACTGCAGCTCCGGGTTTCCTGGGGCCCTCTGCACGAGGGAGCTTCCTCTGGGCGGGGCACCCTGCACACTGCCAGGGGTGAAGCAGCGTCCCTGGTCTCTATCCATCAATGCCAGCAGCAGCCTCCTCCCCGTGAAAACCACAAAGGTCCCCAGACTTCCCCCAGGATTCCCTGGGGCAGAATCACCCCAAGGGAGCACTGAGGGGTAGGAGGTCCCACTGACCCCCAGGAAATTCTCTGTCCCATCACCATCTGTGGATGCTGCCCACACTGAGTGGGGAGGGAAGGGGTGGTGAGCACAGATGCTGGAGGTCCCCTAATTCCACCCAGGGTCTGACTCATTGGGAGTTTATTCTGGTGGGTGGTGTGATGGTGTGAGCAGGGATTAAACTCAATTTCTTTTTCAAATAATGAACACTGTTGACATTTGGGTGATTTCATCCCCCAGGCAACAACAGGAAGCAGGAAAACAGTACACTGAATGACAGAAGCTGGACAGAAGGGGCTGGTGTCTGCTTCTGCTCCAGGAAACACCAGAGCAGAGAAACCCAGGGAGAAACAACCAGCAGCCTGTGGCAGCTTGGGGCGGGGGGCACAGGGGCGGAGCACTCCAAACACAGGAAGTGTGCTGCTGGGTCACCATCCTTGGGGCAGACCCGTCAGAGTCAAGGCAGTGACAGCTGACCGAAACAGGGCCGAGCAGGGCCCACACCTGCTGCCGGCCTGGAAACAAAGTGCACGAGGCTGGGGGGCTTGGACATCTACCAAGTAATCAGGATGAGCCTCCTGGCTGGGAACCCCAATTTGAGTCTGAATCACTGGTCCACCAGGTGTTTAGAGACCAAACTGGGTCCCCCCAAAGTATGCAATAGATCCTAACGCCTCTACCTGTGGATGTGACTGGTCCTGGGAACCAGACTGCCTTCATTATGTTCATGAGATCCTGGTGGAGGGACCAGTACATACAAATGGGGGTGGGAGGACAGCAGACGCCTCACAGAGATGGTCAGGTGACGAGGCGAGAGAGGTTGGGAAGGGACAGGGCCCTTCCCCAGAGCCGACAGAGAGCACCATCCCCTAGAACTGGGGCCCTGAATGTGGACTTCTAGCCCCCTAAACTGTGATAAAATGAACTTCTGTTCATTCACGCCACCCCCTTGTGGTGTACGTGTTACAGCAGCTCACGGAGACCGTCTAGGAGACCAGAGAGGCCCAGCGGGGTGAGTCACACACTTCACTCAAGTCACAGCAAGCTCGTTCTCTGCTTCCCATCACTTTACACAGCCAGGCCCCCACAGAGCTCAGCGTCTACACTGACCACGGCCGGGACCCCAGGCCTTCACCCACTCAACTCACCTTCTCCCTCACAGCGGGCAGCAGAGCATTGAAGCAGGTGGCCAGGAAGACGCCGCCCCCAAAGGTGTTGCAGAGGGCCAGGATCTTCTTGGAGCGGTGAGCCTTCTCAAAGTCCGTCTCGATGATCTTCACGGGCAGGAGGGAGCCCAGCAGCATGAAGAAGAACACCCCCACCATGCACAGGATCTTGGCCACCAGCAGCTTCATCGTGGCGGCCTGGGCTGCTCCGCCCACTGCAGACCGCAGTCATGGGCAGCGTCACGCTCCGTCCCCGAGCCACTACTGGGTTCCGCCAAGCAGCCGCATGCTCATGTCTCAGTCCAGCAACTGTGGACACCAGGGGCAAGCTCGTTAGGGGCGGGCTGGCCAGGTCTGTCCCAGTGACCTCACCTGTCACCCTGGTTTGCCTGATGATGTGTCAGCGTGGCTCTGGGACCCAGTTGTTCAGTCGGGTACCAGCCTAGGTGTCCCCAGAAAGTACTCACGGGTGATGGGAGTTTTCATTGAGGGGCCTCAAGTGAAACTGAGCACCCTCGTAGGTGAGCTTGAGCCAACCAGCCGAAGGCCTTTAGGTCAAAAAAAAAGGGGGCTTCCTGAGGGAGGAGTCTTCCTCAGGCTCTACAGGTCTTGCCAGAATTCCTCCTTCCTCCACCATGTGCCCCACTGATCTGGGGACATAAAAACCCACTGCTGCTGTGTAGATTCCAAATCACAGCAGACCAGTCAGGTGGAGCAGAACGGGCCAGTCGGGCGGAGCAGAATGGACCGTGGGACAGATCAGAATGGTTTGTGGGGCAGAGCGGAACCGCCATGGGTGCCCAAGGCCATCACCTCTACTGCCAGCCAGATCGTCTGCCTCAGAGATGCAGGAGGTTTTCAACAGTCAACCTTGTGTTCAACAGTCAAGCATTTAGACACTGTACCCCAGGGTCTGCTCCCTCTATAATTTGGCCGGTTCTGCTCCTCCAGAGCGCAATCACTCCATGACTCCTGACCACGCCTCGTATAGGACTCCCTCGGGCAATACTCTCCCATCCAGCGGCCACCAGTTACAGGGATCTGTGTATGCTCACTACAAATTAAAGGATGACTTCAGACTCTGAGTCGTACGAGTCACATCTCAGGTGCTCGGCAGCCCTGGGAGCTCGCGTGGCGCGCACTGGGCACTCCTGCTGCTGCAGGACATTCTACAGATGGTGCCACTCCAGTGGCTTCTCACCGCCCTGAAATCAAACTCAGACCGTCTGGAGGCTCTGGACAGCTGACCTGGTTTGCTCACCCCACATCGGTGTTCCAGGCCTTGAAAATGCTCAGTCCCTTTCCTGCCCCAGGGCCTTTGCACAACCTGTTCTCTCTCCCTAGAACACACTCTTTCCTGCCTTCCCCCTCTCCCCTCAAGTCTTCATGTTCTCCGCTTCACTACCTCTGAATGCCTCCCTCAGTCCACACTGCTCTAAATGGTGTCCCTTGCACCCTAGGTCTAACACAGGAAGGTCATTCAGTAGCCTCTGACTCAAGGAATGGATGAGTTAAAGCACCTGGACTTGAAAAGGGCCTTTTCAAAGTGATTCATGGGCCAAAGGTGAGGTGACTCTGCCCTGAACCACACAGAACAACTCTCCCATAATTTTAAGGAACCGTGGCTGCTTCCCTGTTCTGCTAGGTCCCTTCTTGCCTCAGGGCCTTTGCACAAGCTGTTCTCTCTGCCTAAGATGCACCTTTTCCTGCTATCCTCATGTTTTCCTCATATCTTGTTCCTTACTACACTCAACTCTGGGATCCAACAGGCTCTTATACCCTGTCTCCCGACCTTTTGCTGTATTAGCTGCCCACCCCCTCCCCCAACAAAAACAAGCCGAAAAGACAAGGCAGAACGGCTCTATACGGATTCCAAAGCTGTGAGTTTTTGGAAGGTGCCACTGAGTGGGATCAAACCACCAACTTTGGTGGAGGGCTTAGCCATTTTGGCCACTGTTTTGATTTCTGTGCCTGAATGAATGAGGCTAAGCGGCTGTATGCTCCTCGGGCAGAGACTCAGCCCGGACCCCGAGCACAGAGCTGGTGTGTGGTGGACGCTCCCCCCCCCATAGAGTGCAAACCCCCACGCTGGGCGCCCTCCTGCTCTCCCGCCCGAAGCACCCTCTGCAACCCCGCAGGACGCACTCTGCATCCCTGCCAAATGTTCCCACTCCCGCCCTCCAGGCGGGCGCAGCCAGAACCCCTTCTGCTGCCCCCCGTACCCCTGCTGGGAGCCCCCAACCCCTTCCAGGCACTATTCCCGTCCTCCCACCGGGCTCCCCCAAACTCCCACCAGGCGCCCCCCGAA